TGTGTGTGTGTGTGAACATGTATGGTTGTAAATGTGTGTCTTTCAGCCTGTTTTTCACCTCACTTCCTCTCCCTAATTGCATATGTATGTTTTTTTTTGTGTGTGTGTGTGTGTGTGTGTGTGTGTGGAGAGAGAATGTACGTTTTGGTGTTGTGGAAAATAAATCTTGTCAAAATCATATAGGGGGAACAGTGATCAAACACTTGCATTAATCAATGAGATTGAAATAGCCTCTCTAGCCTAATTCATAGTAAAGGACGCTGACACTATAAGCTAACTTTTTCTGTCCAAGGAAACCCAAGTACATTTTCCAGGGCAGTAAATCAAACATAAGGACATTCAAAGGAAAACAAAGTGTCAACCTTATTAAATATGAGAATGTGTCTCATAATGTCTCTTACTGGAGTTTCCAAACTTTGGTGAAAACAAACGTTTTTTTGTGTTTTTTTGTCCAGGCTTGTTGACTTGGCTGTATTCCACCAGTACATCAGCCAAAGCTTCAATCTGAGTCACAAGAACACCTGGATCAGCTTTGGAGGCTCGTACTCTGGAGCTCTGTCCGCCTGGTTCAGAGGAAAGGTGCAGGACTGGATCCAGATATGAATGACACATCATCATTTTTAATAATACTTTTTAGATTTTTGAGAAATTATCCTTGAGCATGAAAAGTGTTTCTAAAAATGAACTAATTCATGTGAGACACCATGATTATGAAAGCATGTATGAAAAGCTTGAACTTAGCACTGTATGATTTTACAAAAATGTAGAGAAATGCCAGAATCGTTCCGATAGGAATCAATTGGTGGGGAACATCCACAATGTGAGTGTAGAATTGTTGGAAGGCAATATTCCCTTTCTTGTCATATGGTTGCTCTTTGTTCACACCCTAAAAGAGATAAGAAAGTACACACTGAAGCACCTTTCCTATCATTTAGGGAATTTACCACCACCTATCATGTCTACCACTTAGATACCTCTGGGTCAACAAACTAAATGATGTTGAGTTTGTTGCTAACACGTGACAGGCTGTGATTTATGATCACTGCAGTGCTTCCAGAGTAAAGTTTTTTTACATTTTTCAGCATGTGAGGAAAACAATTCACAGTCAGGTCCTACATCATTAATAATCTGCACTGTTGGTCAGATTTAAAAGATAAAGCTGCAGTTATTCTCTATTTTCTTATTGCCAACAAATCCCATGAAAAGACCCAAATCAAGAATGCATTTGTCCATCTTTCAATACTTTCTCTACCCTGTTTGTGGCTCTCAGCCCCAAGCCTGTTTGTCTTTACTGAACATAGAAATCTTACAAAATGAATCTAAATATGTAACTTCACTTTTTTAAAAGCCTAAATAATGCACTGAAACAGCTGGGCATTGTAAGTTTTAGCAACAGGAGTAAAATTTTGTTTATTTGTTGGAGCAACTTTTAGGGGTGGATGTGACTGCTACATTAGTGAGCATTTACAGCAGCAGCAGGATATGTGAGACTGACTCAAAATTAAGCTGGCTGACGTATTTATTGGACAACAGTGGAGCTGTATGGCCACTATTATACTGAATCCCCCAATTTGTGGAAGAGACTATGTGATTTATATTCTGTGTATGCCACACAGGTCTTGCTCTTTTACTCTTCTGTCTCTGTTGCTCTTGCATCCTACTGCAGTTTCCCCATCTGGTGTACGGAGCCGTGGCCTCCTCTGCTCCTGTGAAGGCGAAGCTGGACTTCTCTGCTTACAGCAATGTAAACTGGCATAATCCATGGTCCCAATATTAGCATAGATAGCATATAGGGCTGTAGCCAGGATTTTTAAAATACTGAGGTTATGAGTTCATATGCAACTCACCCTTGCAAAAAAATCTTAATTACAAACATGTCAAAAAACACATTTTTGTATGTCTAAACATGTCCAAATCAGCAATAGGCAATGTGTGTTATATAACCCCCCTCCTCAGATCATTAAACCCCCCAAATTCCCATAGATTTTACCAAGGAGTTGACCATAGTTGACTCAATTGTACCTACAGCCCTGCCTATTACACATTCATAATAAATTACCACTAATTAGTCTAGCACTCTTCCTTAAAATATCCATATTCTCATCCTCATATCTGTGATTTCCTCTCTTTCAGACTGTTGGCTTGAGTCTCGCAAATGAAGCAGTTGGTGGCTCAGAAAAGGTGTGAAGGCAGCCACCTGTCTGTGCATCACATTACAGGCATTAAATTCCTGTCTGTCACATGTGTTAAATTCACCCTCATCCTCTTCCTGTAGTGTCTAGCTGGTGTGCGGAAAGCCTTTGCTGCTGTGGAAGCAGCACTGATGAGTGGTAATGCCAGCCAGGTGGCTATGGACTTTGGCTGCTGTCACATCCCCAAGGATCTTGATGATCAGGTGACAGCTTTGGTTTTTATGAGATGCTGAAGGGGAAAAACATGTTAACAAAGGGGGGCAATGTAGTGGCATCTTGTTTTGAGCATTTTTATCCTTTTATAAGCTTTTTTTTTTTTAAGCAGTTTCAATTTATCCTCTGTTGCACATGGACAAACTTAAACACACAAACATGCACATGGAGCAGACCAGACAGGCTGGGATAGTACACAGGCAGAGGGAGCGTGACGTCATTATCTGCTCAGGACAGCATTACTCAACTATGTCTTTACATATAGCTATATAGTTGTTTGCTGTTTTGAATATAAATACACTTTAACCATTTATAATTACTTTTAGCTATTTCAACCATTTATCTACTAGACTACTTTTACTCTTGGTTGGGAATCAATGTTCTATCTAAATAATCATTTAATCAAATTTAACTTTTTCTTCTCTTGTTTTTTTTTTTAATGCTGATGCAGAATAAAAGGGTCTGAGAGGAAAATTATGATTTTACTGTCGGCATATGTATATCTCACTTCAGATTGAGCTGATGCAAAACTTGGCCGACATCCTCATGGGAACAGTGCAGTACAATGAAGAAGGGGTGCTCATGTCTATTAATGAGATCTGTGGTATTATGACCAATGAGAGCGAGCCATTTGAGGAGGAGATGGAGGCTTACAGCCACCTTGTTAAACTTGCACAGGTATGGAAAACACACCCCTTGACATTATAAGGATGACCACTTGCTTGTAGTTTTCCCTTTCATGCATAGTATAACCACAAGATGTCACCGTTGAGCCATTTCCATGAATTCTTCATAGGCAACAGGGTGTTGTAGTCCCCCGTAGAGTTAAAATGAAAAGGTGCAACCATTTTTCTTTTCAGCAGAATTATGCAGTCAAGGCAGGTGTTTCCTTTGTTTTGTGTGTTTGTTTGCAGATCTACCATTCTACCAGTCAGGAACCGTGTCTGGATATCTCCCATGAGAAAACAGTGAAAGATCTGATGGATACGTCTCTCCACTCAGGCAGAAGAGCAGAGAGACAGTGGACCTACCAGACCTGCACCGAGTTTGGCTTCTGTACTACACACCACACCACCACCAACCAACTGCCCACTATGATAAACTTCATTCTTCCCTAAGTCTTGACCTTTTCTGTGTGTGTGTGTGTGTTGTGTGTGTGTGTGTGTGTGGTGGTTGGTGTGTGTGAAGACCAGACTTGTGAGGATGCCACTTGTCCATTCTCTGGGATGGTGACTCTGCAGACCGAGACTGAAGTCTGTCCCATAGTGTTTGGCATTTCCCAGCATTCCCTGCCTGGACGCATTGCCTTTACGAACACTTACTATGGAGGAGACAACCCACACACCCACAGGGTCCTCTATGTCAATGGTGAGACTAGGTTTACAAGACAAAACCACAACAAACAAACCTATGGAGTAACTGACTCATTTAAAAATCAATCTTGTCATTGTCACAGGTGGAATTGACCCATGGAAGGAGCTGTCGGTGGTGGAGGACAGGACTCGGGACGGAGGAGAAGCCCAGACCATATTCATCAAGGACACTGCTCACTGCGCTGATATGATGAGTGGAAGAGCCACAGACCGCTGTTCGCTCAAAAGAGCCAGAGAGGTACGTAACACTGAAAATACAATATGCATAACAAACACATAGATAATAAAGTCGCACAAGGTCCACTTACTGGAAATATGCTGAGGCTTTCAGCTATAAAAGGGTAATTTTGGAAATGTTCAACCAGGACCTTATTTCCCCATGTTTTAGTGTCAAAATGAAATTACAATTTTTGAATTTGGTCCAGTATTGTGTGAGAGCACTGCAGCCTGTAGTCTCAAAACAGGCTACTACATAATCCGTGCGGGCTCTTACGGAGCATCAAAATGCAGCCATTGTTTGTTTTTGCCACTGACCAGCTCTGATTGTGTGTGAAAGTGTCTGAAGACATCATGAAAAGGACCCTACAGAGAAATGTTTTTGGTACCTTTTACTTTATCAGAACTGTGAAATATCCTCTTGGGCAGCGGATCACAGCACCCACAGGGACACCGCCAGTCTCCTGAGTTTTGCAGCCTTGCAGCAACTGGTTCTCCCTCCTCTGCCTGTTGCCCCTCTTTCTCTCTACTTGTCCACTTTTCAATTTGTTGTCTTATCCGTATACTCTTGTTTCAAATAAACACAAACAGCCATCAAATTTAAAGGCCTCATCCAAATTAGTCAAATATTCAGCCATGCAGAGTTGGCTCCATGAGGGGGAAACAAAGGGACAGTCTCTCCACTTCATTTACTGTGCTTCCTCACTTTTATAAAAGCATGTCAGTGTGATCTCATGACTGTTGTAAGTGTAAATCCATTGTAATCCCTTGTTTTATTGTGCTTTTATTGAATCAATTGTATCTTTTTCTTTGGTTCTTTGGCTTTAAAGAACAGAAACCCCCTGAATCAAATTGTTAATGGTCTAGTAGTCACAGTGAGTGAATCACAGCTTACTGTGATCACTCGCTACACCGGACAGTTACCCTTTGCACCTTGAATTTCAGCTTCTTCCTTCTGAACAGTGTATATTCTCGAAATGTAGCACAAAGCAGTATAAAAATAGCTTTGTTCAACCAGCTATGATTCGGATTAACAAGTTGTAGTAACAATTACCTGCATTTTTACCTTATTTAGTCTAGTGGTTATTTATTTTTGTGTTTTTTTTTGTTGTTCTTTCTTTGTAAGTTCTGATGATTTTTAGAGCTTATAGCACTTATATCCTTTGTCTTTATCCTTTATCATTTATCATGTTAGTTTATTGTCAAAATATTAAAAAAGACAAGGAAGGCCTTTTCTTTTACTGCAAATCAAGTCTACCTATGGGTACAAATAAAGTAACCTAACCTAACCTGACCAGCTCAACAGAGATAAGTTTACAGTCAAGGGTTGACTTTTCGTTGGAGCCACTTGCGGTGTCACCGGCTCCTACTAGCCCTCCTCTTAATATTACATCCTCCGGTGGATGATTTAGGAGAAGATGGGCCTAAACAGACCAGTCTCCACACCTACCCTGTACTCTGTGACAGCAGCTTTTCATCATTTGGATGCCTTTTGGTCAATATAAATGTGTGTTTTCTTGCATTTATTCACAAGTGATTTCTGCTTGTGTCAGATTACTGTGATTTTTCCTTAAGATTTTCTCCTGCATGCAGCAAATGGTTTCACTTTTAGTATCCATGACTGCAATGCCACTTGCCAATAATTTGGCACCCCTTGCTACAAGCCTTGTATCCCCCCATGGTTATTTGCTCTAGCGCCAACACTGAATTAACCTTTAAAAACCAGAAGGCAGCACTGTTCTCAAGTGCATAAAGTAACTACATGTTTAGATTTACACAGTAACCATATTTCCTAGCTGCATGGGACTGCAGAGTGATGTTTCTTTGGTTGTTTCATTATAATGGAATATGAAGTGTTTATATTTATATCCGCCTTTCAGGAGATTGAGAAACATGTGAGCAGTTGGCTGAAGATGGCTGCCCAGGAGAGGATGGAGAAAAGAGCGGTCTGATCAGATCACATTACAACCTGATCAGCTCTTATCACTGTTCCCTGAAACTGATAAGAAAGCTGATAATAAGCTGGTTTGCCTGGCTGCTCTGCTTCATCATTGTCCACATCTTCTTCCATTTCCTCCCCTCCTGTTCTCTTCCTCCTTACTGTCCATCCACATCTATCTCACAGTACTGTGCTTCCTCTGTGTGTTTGTGCAGTTTTTTGTGCAGTGTAGAGCAAGTTTTAACTTTTAAGGATTTTTTGTGTGCCTTTACAGATGTTTTTCCTGTTTTAATGTTACTTTTAATTTGGGAAATGTCTTAGTTAACTTAGATTTGATATTTATGTAGAATGTAAGTTTATGCTTAAAACTACAATCATTTAATGGCTGTTTCCTACATATTAGCTTTTGTGTGTCCAGTAAAAGTGGTTTGGCTGTGGTTTGTTTTTACAATATTCAGCAGCTGCCATAACCTTGTAGTATCACTAGGGTGCGATATTGCTACATTTGTGTAGTGTTGCTCCTCAGGAAACAGAACTCAGAATAGTTTTCCCCACTAATGTTTATCTGTTGGTCTCAATAAAAGGCTGCAAATGTCTTGATTTTGAACATTTCGTGCAGTTTTATTCATTTTTTATTCAGTCATTATGGAGCATTTGTTGTGATGCAGTAGTGTTGTTGTGTTTGTAACACAGAGAAATCATGAAGAGATGGAGAGAGATTTGTGTGAGGTGAGGAAGCACCAGTTGTCCCAAGGCCATCTGTTTCTGTATGGGCTGTGTGTGTGTGTGTGTGTGTGTGTGTGTGTGTGTGTGTGAGTGAGTGACCTTCCCAGTAGGGGGTCAAAAGTGGGAGGTCATGACCCCGCTGACCCTGTGGGAGTGGAGATCATCAATCAACTAGGGGCTGGACCGAGCAGCAGGAGGGGACATACACACACACACACACAAACACACACACACATACCTAGATACTGTAACACACACACTCAAATGTACCTGGGAAACAAATAAATGTTGTATAAAATACATCAAAAGCACGTTTGAATCAGACAAGGATGATGAAATAGAAATTTATCTTGTGGATAGCTGATGACATCCAGATATCAAACATCTACAAACAAACACACACACACACACACCACACACGCAACACACCACCAACACACACAGAGTTATATGCATAAAGGGCTCTGAGACATTTGCTGCCAGGCAAATAGGCTGTGTGTGTGTGTGTTTGTGCGTTGGTGTGTGTTTTGTTTGATAACATACAAGCTTTCTTATTCATGGAAAACTCACAGATGCTATCACAAACCCCCGCACAGAGACAGAGCTTTAAAGATGGAAAGAGAGTGAGTAAACCTGAAGCACTTTGTCACTGCAGTGCTTCCATTTCATCCTGTTTCTAAGGTCCCCTCATCTCTTTGCAAACAAGCACAACCCACAAACAGACACACACCCATTTACACACACTATCAGGGTTATCAGCCAGCACTTGCAGAGCGACAGGGCATGCTTTTTCTCTCTCCTCCTCCTCCTCCTCCTCCAGCCTGTCCTGTTGATCAATGAGGAAGTTCTTGGGCCTCAACTATTAATCAGAGCCTATCGGCGATCTGTCTGCAGAGCCAACCAATCACAGCCCTCCGACAGCTGGGCTATGAAAAATGTGGCCCGGGTGGATGGAGGGGAGGACGGGGAGGTTGGGGTAGTGGCGGGGTCGAGGAGGAGAGGAGGGAGGTGAAGGAGCACTCTATCTGAGCCGAGTCAGGTCACGGCTGCAAAATTGCACTTTATGCACTTACAGTTGATTCTTAACATAATGATGGCCGCAACACACACACACACACACACACACACACACACACACACGAGTCCACAGGATTCATGACTGATACACACAGAATAATTTAACTTCAATCGACACATTTTGTCCCTGATTCACATTTACATCGAATTGAGGCCTTTTGCAGCCGCTGTGTTACTATTTGTGTTTCATTTGGTGGCGGTTAGAGTGACTGAATCAGACAACAGCTATAATGAACGCAGTGTTTTCATGGATTTGCAGCAGAAAACTCCCCAGTGAGGACCACTGCCGATCTGTTGTCCAATAACGTGGCCTGTCCTCACGCCTCAAAAGCTTCATCAACACACCACCATCCCTCTTCTGCATAATCACCATGCTCACACTCATCCATTCACATCTTATTGCCATGATTAGATTACATCTAATGCTATTACAGCGCTCCCATCTCTCCTCTCCCCCCCCCCCCCC